ATGCAATCAGACTTGCTTTCGTTCACACTTTACAAGCATGCAACAGTGGCGCAGCAAACTGGCGACATGCGCCCACTCAAAACTCAGAGATATGGCAATCCAGATAAGAGTTCACTTCCAAAGGCTATGGCGACTCAGCGCCCAAACAACTCTCTGTCGCATACACCAGATCACCCTGGATATCCCACACGCGTCACTCTGAACACTTACACATACGCACACACACACTTCACACTAAACTACAGCTATGGCAGCTATGGCTGCCTCTACCCTATCGCTATGCTACATTCCTTCTCTCTTGCCCACTTCAGCTCCGGGCTCTCTGCAGACCTCCTTGCACAAGTCGCTGTGGCAGCGCTTCCGCATGGCTCACGCAGGAATGAATGAATGGCTCGACGCTGCCTCTTGATTTATACTTCTGAAGTTCAGTGGTCTGCCCTTTTCCATCGGCCCTTGGTGCTCACAGTCCCTCTTGGTACTTGCTGGACCGGACTGGGACTGACTGGACCTTACCGCTGACTGACTGTGGACTCACTGCTATCCTACCGAAGTCTTACTGCAATTGCACTGCAGTTTAGTCCACCACTTGGCTCACCACTTGCCCACTTGCCCACTTGCTGAGCTTCTAGAAGGACTACAGCTAGACGTCTGGAACTCGCTAAGACTTCTACTCTACAGATCTACAGATCGAACCCCTGCTACCCTTGGACCTAGAACAGCCTACCAACTGTTTACGAATACACAGGTCACAGGTTCAACTCTCGGGGTCTACATGGGTACTGTACATGGGTAGGATGAGGTCTAGGGATCGAACCCTGGGTACTGCATCTGTTACTGCGAAAAGGTGAAAACCGTTTCAATTAATCCGATTATGAAGTATTAATAAGTTATAAATAACACCCTGACTCCCTGAGAGCATCAGCTCAAAAAAGAAAACTGGATGCTTGAGAGGTGGCTCTATTAACATAAAACCGGAACAATGAACACCCCTTTTGACTCAAATAGAAACAACCCTCTTCGGGCTTCAGGACGAGCGTCCTTTTCAGAGTATAAGGGCAGATTGAACAATGAACGCACACCCAGATGTTCAAATAGCATGCAGTATAATGCACTTCTACAGAGGAATGACAGTACTATACAGTACTATGCAGTACTATTTACTATTGACTCAGTATTGAGTACATACTACATAGAATTCACGGATAATTCACAGATAATTCACCCCTCTGGATTCGCAAGCTCCAGCCCCTTCATGTACTCCTCTTCAGAGTTCTGAGTCTTCAGAAGTAGAACTACGGGGTCAAGGCCTCTTAAAGAGAAAACAAGAAAAAAAAAAAAAAAGGGTCAAGGCCTCTGAGGAGATCCTTCTTACCGAGAAGAAACTGTTGATGAGCAATTGCTGCAAGTGGAAGTGGAAAGCGTAACCCTTTCGACTCGTCAAGGACAAGGCCCTGTCAAATAAATGGAGCAGAGATGGGAAATGGGAGATGGCAGATGGCAGATGGCAGATGGCAGATGGGAGATGGGAGATGGGAGATGGGAGATGGGAGGTGGGAGATCGGAGAGGTTGGGTGGTAATTTCTAATATCAGTCGGCATTTTCTCAACACCAAACAGAGTAGGGACTCTCTCTCATAGAGTTATCTGATACTACTGAAAGCAATTACGGCGGGTGGTAGGCGTCCAAAGATAAGATGAAAACGTGCCAGTGTGAGTATGCCCTTAGACAGCAAGCAGAAGTCCAAAGATCAGATGGAACCGTGCAAGGGACCAAAAAGAACCAGTCAAGTGATTTGAGTTTTCCCTTCTTTTTTGCGGTTAAAACTTAAAACAGGTCCTTGTGGTCCTGTGTCCATGATCCCAGAGAGAGCGTGCAATGGTTTGACCGTTGGAGATGTATTTCGATTGAGAAACCAAAAAAGAGAAAAAAAGATGAAACTAAAAGACTGAAAACCCGGACAGGAAAAATGATGACAAAGAAGATGACGGCAAGAAGTGAATAAATTAAAAATTATAGCATTTGACCATGCATTAAAATTTACGATTAATCATTAATTCAAATTTCAAAAGCACTTTTCGCATTTTCCCAGAATACTAATCAACATTTATAGCCACATACTACACACTGGTTTGCCAGTCTCTGCCACTCTTTGGTGCTTTCGAGTCTCGACACCTCTTGAGAGGTTCGACATGGAAAAGGTTACTACCTTCCCCCGGACACGAAATATCCCAAATATGAATGCACCAAGCTGTCTTTCCTGTTCCGATACAGTCAGAGTGAAGATGCACCAAATCATGATGAAGGTGGACTGTGTTCGAGGGAAGCATGTAGACGCATAGCAGCATACCGAGGGCTGCATATGGTCAATGCAAACACAAGTGCCATACAGGGCATCCTTTTCTTTGCAAACAAACACAAACCAAGCAAGTGAGCCAGCGAGCCAGCGAGCCAGCCAGACAGCCAGCCAGCTAGGGCAAAGCACAGCAGGCAGGCCAAATCAAAGCATCGCAAAGCAAAGCAAAGCAAGCCCAAGCAAGGCGAAGCAAGGCAAAGGCAAGGCAAGGCAAAGCAAAGGCAAAGGTAAAGTCTTTCTGTATTTTTGACTTCTTATTATTCTTTTCGTTTACTTTTTCTCACTTTTCTTGCTCCAACCAAGGGGCTAGGGTGGCCCAAAGCTTGACCAACGCCAAGGAAACTCCGGATACTCGCAACTGAGCATCGCGCAGACAGACTTTGGAAGGCAAAGGCAAGGCAAGGCAAAGGCAAGGCAAGGCAAGGCAAGGCAAGGCAAGGCAAGGCAAGGCAAGGCAAGGCCAAAGCAAAGCAAAGCACAGGAAAGCCAAGCAAAGCCAAGCAAAGCCAAGCAAAGCCAAAGCAATCAAAAGCAAAGCAAAAGCAAAAGCAAAGCAAACACAAACGCAAACGCAAACGCAAATGCAAACACAAACACAAACGCAAACGCAAAAGCAAAAGCAAAAGCAAAAGCAAGGCGAAAGCAAAGGCAAAAGCAAAGGCAAAAGCAAAGGCAAAAGCAAGGGCAAAGCAAGGGCAAAGCAAGGGAAAAGCAAGGGCAAAGCAAGGGCAAAACGAAAGAAGGGCAGAAGAAAAGCAAGAGCAAAGGCCAGGCCAAGCAAAGGAAGCCAGCCAGCCAGCCAGCCAGCCAGCTAGCCAGCCAAGCAAGCAACTAACCAACCAGCCAGCCAACCAACCAACCAACCAACCAACCAAACAAACAAACAAACAAACAAACAAACAAACAAACAAACAAACAAACAAAAGAGAAGAAAACGGTTTCCCTTTATATCGCTGTTCGCACAGGGATACACAATAGTCTGATCCTAGAGTGGAGTAGTCAAAGGTCTAATAAAGGTCCCTGTAGACACATTTCCAAATTTCCAATAAGAACAAGGGGGGTAATGACGACTGTCTATTTGAATTTTGAGCCTGCTGAATAACTTTCTCGGATATTTTGGCCTGTTCAATCCACCACCGCAGGAAAGAAATTGTAAAAACATACCTACTAACACTCCA